TAGTGAGCCAGTGGAGCCTGGCTAGGACTGGTGTGATGACAGAGTTTGGATTAGCTGGATTTTGTGGATGGTGGAGCCTGGAAGACCAGCGAGTATGGCACTTGAATAGTAACTGGACTTTGTGAACGCCCTGTCCAGGACACTAGGTCTGACTGTTGTGTCAAAGCTTTGGAAGGCTTGTGTGAGCCAGGCAGCGCTGGTCAGAGCCAGGCTTTGACACAACCACAAACAACCTAAAGGGCCCTGGGTTTCTGTTTGCCGCTCTAAACCTGGGATTAAATTACCGTCTCAAATTCACCATCTGCTCCCAGTTACTGCCCGCACTCCCTCCCTCCCGGACAGATTCCCGACTCTTTTTTCTTGTGTTTTTGATGCGAGACTCTGGAGCGCTGTTTGCCATCCGCACCCACCACTCAAATGGCTTTGACGCTGCTGGGAGACATGGGCTTTGATGATAATGGGAGCCCAGGAGAGAGGCCTTTCACCCCCCGGCATTCACTCCCCGCTCCGCCTTTTCTTTTTACATTGTCTGGTTTTATTAACCCACATCCCAGCTCTCTCTCTCTCTCTCTCTCTCTCTCTCCATATTCCAGCTCTTTCTTTCACCGTTTTGCATCTTTCTTTCTCTCTCTCTCCATGTCCCAGCTCTCTTTTTTCTCGTTTCACCCACAAAATACACAGTCAATTTACTTTACAGTATATCCTATGAAGGGCTTTGAGACGTCTAAAAGATGTGATAAGGTGCTGTATCAAATGTAAGGATTATTATTATTATTATTTCTCTCTCTCCCCATGACCCACCACTTTCTGTCTCTCTCTCTCTCCCCATATCCTGTGTCAGCACTATCTCCTCTGAGTCAGGACATGTTATACCCAGTAGATGAGTCAGCCGGGCTCAGTGGTAACGTTCTTGCCTTTGAGTCAGAGGTTTGTGGGTTCAAGCCCCATGTCAGGCTTAGATTCACATGTGAATCCAAGTCCTGTGAATGTGAATCCAAGACACTCCAGTGCAGTGCTGGGTGGGTGTTGCATTGCCAGAGGTGTCATTCTTCGAATGAACATTAAACCGAGGTCCCGTCCGCCTGTTCTAATTGTTAAAGATCCCGTGATGCTATTGGAAAAGAGGAAGGAGTCTTTCTCTCTTGGTGTCCTGGCCAACAATCGCGCAAATAAAATGTGGTCACTCAATCCACGGTTATTTGTGGGACTCTGCTGTGCACAAATGGCTGTGGTGTTTCGCCCACAAAATACACAGTCACTACACTTTACAGCGCATCCTGTGAAGCACTTTGAGATGTCTCAACAATGCGAGAGGGAGGTATATCAAATGCAAGGATTATGATTATTATTTCTTTCTTTCTCCACGTACCCCCCGCTCTCCCCATGTCTCTCCCTGTTCTCTCTGCTCTCTTTCTATCTCCCCATATCCCTTCTCCTTCTCTCTCTCTCCGCATGTCCTGAGCACTCTGAGACTCTAGGCCCTGTGAAGATGGTGTATATAAGCCAAGTTGTTGTCCTGAATGTTTTCACGGCTCAGCTGTTTATCCTGTTCTCTTTTGAGCAGTTCTATTGATCCGGCCTCAGTGGCTGCTCGTGGGAATGAATCCCAAACCCCAACAAGCCTCTGAGTGAGGAGATTCCCTCTAACCTCTCCCACTTCTCACATTGGGAAAAGACTTGCTGACCCCAGAGTGTGTGTGAGGAGTGGAGGGAGGGGCTGGGGGACTAACTACTAGAGTTTAACCAGCGATGTGGTTTTTGCTGGTTAGACTCGAGCAGTTACACACTCTCAAGTTCCCAAAGCCTTGGTTCTCACCAACCACTGTGCTTATTCACGTCACATCTGTTTATGGGACATTGCTGTGTGCAAATTCGCTGCCACGTTTGCCTAAAAACACCGTCACCACGCTTTACAGTGAATCCTGTGAAGCACTTTAGAGACGTCCTCTCGACCTGAAAAGCACTCTTGTCAAATAAAAGGAATATTAGGGATGAATTCAGCGATTTGTGAAACTCCGACTGCTTCGAAGAGCTGAGAAAACAGTGAATTCAGATCTGAATCTAGTTGGGAATTTCTCTTGCAGGAATCTTGCAATGTTGGCAAGTACTTCCCAGCAAAACCCACGCTCTTTCCAAACCTCCACTTAAAATCCCAGCAGCTGTTTCCCATTTGATGAAACTGGGATGTACCCAAATCCTTTCCCAATCCAAGGAACTTTCACTCTACATTTGTTGAGCCAGGGAAATTTCGGCTGAAATATGCAAAAAGAGGGATTATTTTTTGGTGAGGGAACTTACTAACCAGGAACGTTGGAATGTTACAGGGAAAAGCAATGTTCCGAGCCAAGGAAAAGCAAAGGATCCCACCATCATTCCAACCCACACTCTCCATTTAATGTTAAAGGAATAATAACAATATCAACGAATTACATTTATATAGCACCTTTCACGTCGGGAGGAATCCCAAGATACTGGACTGTCAGGTATTTGGACCCGAGCTGGGGGCTGGGATCACGAGGGGTGGAGGGTGGGGGTAGGAAGGTGATCGAAGGTGAGGTTGAAGAGGAGGGTCTTGAGACATGCCTTGAAGGAGGCAAGGGAGGGAGCAAGGCAAAGGGACTGTGGGATGAAGTTCCAAAGGTTGGGGATAGAGAAGCTGGAGGCCCGACTGCCGATGGTGGGGCAGGCCAGGTGGGAGACATGGAGGAGGCTGGAGCCTGCTGAGCGGAGGGAACGGACAGGTTGATATAATGATAATAATCTTTGAATTTGATACAGCGCCTTATCACATCTTTGAGACGTCCAAGAGCGCTTCACAGAATATATTGTAAAGTGAATTGTATATTTTGTGGGCGAATAATATAATAATCCCACGCATTCAATCCAACAGCTTTAAGATCAAAAATCCTCTAAAATAACCACAGGTTACAGTGCTTTTTGCCAGCCAATGTAGGAGCCCATCTGCCTACAGCAACGTCCCACAAACAGCCAAGAGGCTAGCAAGCCAGGACACCGGGAGAGAAAAACTCCCTTCTCTTTTCCAACAGCACCACGGGATCTTTAACGTCCACTTGAACAGGCACAGACAGGAGCTGGGTTTAATGTCTCATCTGAAGGACGGCACATCTGACAACATATCACTGCCCCCCAGCACTGCACTGGAGTGTCAGCCTGGACTGCGAGCTCAGAGTTGTGACATGGGCCTCAAAACCACAATCCCCTAACCCAGAGGTGAGACTGAACACCTGAGACCATCTGCTTCCGGAAAAGTGGTTTCCAAACTAAGACAGAAATGGAAAGTTTCCCCCAATTCTGCCCAATCTAACAGTGTGCGGCTACACAGTCTTACAGGCTGAGAACGGGTTTTCTTTCGGTCAGCCAAGTGTCTGACACATGTGAAAACCCATCACCATGCTTAAGAGTATCCAAACCAAGCTGAGATTTCCATGTATCCCACCGACACACTGAAATCCCAGAGATAGATTGTTGGAATGGAATGTGCACTCTCTTCCTGGAGGAGCACATCCAGTTTACCTAATCCAGGAGAGTATTAGGCGCAGGTTGGCAAAAGCCAATGCTTGGGGACCCCAGAGTGTGTGTTGGGTTAACTGCTGGAGTCTAACCAGCTAAAACCACATAGTTTGTCATTGAGAGCACTGTCTGGCAAGCTTTCCCGCTGCTTGTCCAACTAGAACCACTCCACCCATCAGGGCTTTGACTTCCAGGGTTAACAGGAGCTCAGTGGGAGGATACCCGCCACCAGTGACTGATCTATTTTCTAAGAACTGCCGATGAGCCAGGCCGGGCTGTCATCAGCAGACCAGTTGAATTCCAAGTTTCTGATCTCTCCCCACATTTTAAACCTCTCTTGGGATGAGTTGGGGGGAGAATAGATTGGAGACAGGATCACATCTCAAGATCAGTTTGGATGAAGAAGACCCTTCAGCCCTTCTGACCTCAGAACACGCAGCCCACCATCCCCCCATCACAGCATTGAGCTGTTTTTATAAATGAGTCCATATGTGCAGTTACTGTGTAATTTGTGGGTGAACGTGGCAGTTAATTTGCACACAGCAACAGCCCACAAACAGCCATGAAATGAGCGAGCCATTCTATCTGGGGGATTGTTAGCCAGGACACCAGGAGAGAAACTCCCTTCTGTTTTCCAATTGGTCCATATGATGTTGAACAGGCAGCTGAAGAGGCACAGATGGGGAGATTATAATAATAATCCTTACATTTGATATAGTATCTTATCCTGTCATCGAGACGCCTCAAAGCGCTTCATAGGATTTACTGTGAAATGGATTGACTGTGTATTTTGTGGGCAAAACACAACAGCCAATTGCACACAGCAGTGTCCCACAAAGTCACGGATTGTGTGACTAATCTTTTTAAAGGGATTATTACATCCGGAAAGCGATCCGCCAATCTACCAACAACCGTGTTCTTACTTACTGCTATGTAAACAGACATGTGTAGAGTAAGGAAACTTGCTTACGGTTTCACCCCACACTAGAATCAAACCCGGGTCCTCTCCCTTGCGAGGCGAGTGCTCTAATCGCTACTCTATAGAACTCCGCACTGGGTTGTGAGGAGATTGACTAGAGGGATTGCAGGGATGAGATGAGCAGAGCCTGGGGAAATTGTCACTAGAGCAGAGAGAGTTGGGAGGAGACCTGACTGAGGTGTTGTGAATGAAGAGGGACTGAGAAGGTAAGAGAAATGATTGCCATTGGACTGGAAGATGTGGGTTAAAGCTCATCACCAAAATCACACGCAGAGGCTGGAGAATGTTATTTATAATAATAGTCTTACATTTCATATATGGCTTTCAAGTCGGGAGGACGTTTCAATAGCATTTCACAACACTTACTGTAGAGTGTAGTGACTGTGTGCTTTGTAGGCATATTTACACACCACACACATCAACAAACACACGTTTATGCACACACACTTACTCATTCACTCACATACCCACATACATTCCAACACTCACACTCACTCATTCTGCTACACATACACTCCCTCTCACACATTCACAGATACTCACGTGCACATTCACATATGTGCATACTCGCACATGTACACCCAAACACACACACACACACGGGTGCAGTCACACACACACACACAAACACAGTGTCAGCGGTATGCATAAAAAGCTGGGTTTCTGTGGAACCCACGTGATGCCCCCGGGATGGGTGAGGAGGCCATAGGCTCAGCTGGGAACACTGGGAATGCCGGGAACATCGGGTTTGTGATTTGCATTATTCCCAGGCCACTGGTTTTCTGAGCGATCTGAGTCTCTGCTCCATCCGAGGCCAGAAGGCCCCCCAAATCAAGCCTGGCCCCAGGCCCCTAAAATGGCTTCACCAGCTTCATAGCAGCATATTCCTGTAACAAGCACAGAGGCAATATTGTAATAATAATCACTGTAATCGTTCCCTCTCCCTCCTCCCATGCCTCTCCTTCACCCGCCTGTAGCCCCTCGCCCCCTCCCCCTCTCCCCTCACTACCCCTCCTCTCACTCCCCCCTCGCCCAGCCTCCCCTTGCCCCGCCTCCGCTCGCTTCCCCCCCCTCGCACCGCCTCCCCTCACTCCCCATTGCCCTCACTCCCCCCTCCTCTCACCACCTCTCCCCTCACTCCCCCTCCCGCCTCCCCTCACTCCAACTCACTCTCACCGGAAAGGAGTAGAGGAAGACGATGATGAACATGAGGACGATGAAGGCGACGAGAAGAGCAAGGAACAGCCAGCGAAACCTCCTCCACACAATGTATTTCAGTGTTTTCAGAGGAGACGTGAACCAGAGGAACGAGGTGTCCGGGCGCCTGTCACACAGAACACGGCACACGCAATGTCACCCATGTCACACACAATCTCACCTCCATTACACTCCATCTCCCCCCAACACATCACCACCCAACTGTCAAACACGATCTCACTCCTGTCACAGATGATCTTCCCCATCACACATCTCAGTCTCTCTCACTCATTCTCTCTCTTTCATTCTCTCCTTCCCTCTCAGCCTCTCCGCTCTCTCTCCCGGTCTCTCTCTCTCTTGTTTTCTCTCTCTCTCCCGCTCAGTGTGACGCTTTCACTCACTTGGGTTCCTCCAGTTTGGGGTTCATGTTGGGTTCGTCCCGGCCCAGTCCTGCCGGCTTCTCGTCTCTCTCCTGTTCACACACCATTTCCAGGGTCATCTCCACCTTCCCCTATGTGTGGCCAGAGCACAGTGGTCAGCGAGTGGCAATATTATTATTATTAAAGTAAAACTCACATGCCTTATCCTTATGAATCATATAATCGCCTAAGTCATACACCCACCCGAGTCTCATTCCGTTTCCTATCAAAACCACTTAGATTTCTTTGCACTGGTCATATTTATCATCTCTTGACTCGTAACTTGGCTCCCCTACCCTTCATTACTCCTGCACTTTCCGGCTGCATTGAATCGCGGGAACTTGTCACCATACGCAGAAGAATTTGGTGTAAGTGCACATGTGGCGATGGGTCAAGATGTATTGAATTGCGAGAAACTTAAGTCTTGACCTGTCACTGCAAGCACACTTACCAGCTGCAGTGAATTACACATGTACAGTGTAGATTATTGATAAAATTGGAGTTTATGCGACTCGGACTTCACGTAAGTCATATTAAATGTTACTGTAACATTACTGTAACGTTACTGTAAATGTTACTGTCCCGACTGGTACGACTTGTGTGAGTTTTATTGTATTGATATTGTTATTCCTGTTATTATCACTGTTATTAGTGGTGTTGCTACTCTGTAACATTAATAATCCTTGCATTTGATATCGCGCCTTAACGCGTCTTTCAGACGTCCCAAAGAGCTTCACAGGATATACTGTAAAGTGAATTGATTGTGTGTTTTGTGGGCAAAACAACATACAACAACAACAAGATTCCATTTATAAAGCGCCTTTCACGTCAGGAGGACGTCCCAAGGCGCTGAACATAATGTTACTATCACTGTTGTTAGTGTGTGGTTAGGCTGTGGGATGTGTGACTGTCATGCTATTATCACTGTTGTTAGTGTGTTGTTAGTAGGGATGTTGGGGTGTGTGACTGTAGTGTTATTCTCACTGTGGGTGGTGTCTTGTTAGTAAGGGTTGTGACTGTATTGAGATGACACTCACAGCCAGGCTTCTCTTGCCGTCTCCCTCGGCTATGCACGGCCACCAGCCTTTCACAGATTTCTGCTCGAACAGCGACACGCATCTGTCCTTCAGCAAATTCTCCTCCAGCAGCTCCACACTGCACTTCTCCGGGGACTTGGCCGGCCGCGGCATCTTATTCAAGTCCATCTGGATACAGCCTGCAAACAGCACCACACAGCTCCCATCACATCACAGACACTATTCTTCAGGTAAGATGTTACACCTGTACTTGTGGCGTCCTGTGGCATAGTGCTTAGCGAGCTCGCCTCATGAGCAAGAGGACCTAGGTTTGATTCCCGGGTAACGCAAAACGTTGTCTAAGGTTTCATACCACCTGGGAATCAAGCCCGGGTCTTCTGGTTTGCGAGGCGAGCGCTCTAACCATGATACTCCATGATACTTACCCAGATAGTCATCAAATGAAAACCTGTCGTTGTCCCAGATCTGAATGATCAGCTGAGGAGCGATTTTACACTCCATTTTGTCAAGACTCCAGAAACGGTCCTGTGAGGACAGCAAAGTGAGACGTCAGCCTGTACCTCGGAAACACACTATCGCCTGTACCTCACTCTCACATACAGCTGCCTGTACCCATCACACACACTCACATGTACCTTACTCACACACACAAACACTACTACGAACGAATTGTTCGGATCTGGAACGCATTGCCTGAAAGGGAGGTGGAAACCGATTCGATAACAACTTTTAAGAGAAAAGTAGATAATTTTTTGGGAAGGACAAGTTTGTACGCTATGAGGAGAGCGGGGGAGTGGGATTGAATTGGATAGCTCTTTTCAAAGAGCCGGCACAGACACGATGGGCCGAATGGTCTCCTTCGGTGCTGTATGATTCTGATACCTGTACCTCACACACACACACACACACAAATAGCCATACTCTCACACACACTCCTGTACTTCAGTCACACACACAGCCTCCTGTATCTGATTGGCACACACACACACAGCCATCTGTACCTCAGTCACAGTCACACACTCTCGCCTGAATTTTGGAGTGATTTTTTTGAGAGATTCCCAGAGTCCAAAGCCTGGCATATGGTGGGAAGTGACTGAGATATCCTCGTTTTCCCCCCTCCCGCTTGTCAACCTCTCACCTTCTTAGAGACAGAGCAGACCTGCTCAGCGGGGAGGTAGTCAAAAGGGAAGACAAATCGCCAGTTAAAGTTACCCTCTCCTCCCAGAGACCTGTAGTGAACGTCTGTCTTCTGCTTGTTCCCCTCGTGCCCAACTAGCCACCTGCACAGAGAGAGAGTGTGAGAGAGTGAGTGAGACAGAGAGAGAGAGAGTGAGAGAGAGGAGTGTGTTAGAGAGAGAGTGCAAGGAAGAGAGGGAGAGAGTGTGAGAAAGCCCAGTATGTGAGAGAGAATTCCACAGTGGGTTGTGTGCGAGAGAGAGAGAGAAAGACAGAGCGAGAGAAGGGCAGAATGTGTGAGACAGCAATAGAGTATGGAAGAGAGAGAGAGAGAGAGAAAGAAAAGGGCAGAGTGTGTAAGAGAGAGAGAGAGAGAGAGAGAGAGAGACCCAGTGTGAAGGGTGACTGTGCACCAATCTGACATCAGTCACTGGTACCCTGTGAGCAGTGATTGTAGAGTGGCAGACCAGTCACTGCGACAGGCTCACCGTCCACTCAACAACAACACATTACACTTACATAGCGCATTTCACGTCAGGAGGACGTTCTAAGCCACCGCACTGGGGGATTTGGACTTGAGCTGGGGGTTGGGAATCAGGCGACTGGAGAGCTGGGCGGGTAGGGGGAGGAGGGTGACCGAAGGCACGGTCAAAAAGGAGGGTCTTAAGATGGGCCTTGAAGGAGGCAAGGGAGTGGGCAAGGCAGAAGGACTGTGGGATGGAGCCCCAGAGGGTGGGCACCTCCTGAAGGCTGAGCCCAGCACACGTTCCGGGTATCAGATACACACTCACCCTTTCACATAAATGTCACTCATTTTCTCGCCTGTGATACTGGTGTCATCGAGGATCACATCGTTCGTGTTCCATATTATACAGCGAAGGTAGAACCTGCAGCCACACATAACACCATCATTATCTCTTAAGATTAGAGATTAAACCTAATATCAGGTTTATCCACGACCTGAGAGAATGTCCCACTTCGACATTATTAATATAATAATCCTTGCATTTGATATAGCGCCTTATCACATTGTTGAGACGTTTCAAATCGCTTCACAGTATATACTGTAAAGTGAATTGACTGCATATTTTGTGGGTGAAAAGTGGCAGCCAATTGCACACAACAGCGTCCCACAAACAGTCATGGATTAAGTGACCAAATAAAACAATCTGCCAATTCACTAACAACCAGGTTCCTACTTATTGCTGGGTAAACAGAGGTGTGTGGAGTAAGGAAACTTGCTTAAGCTTTTGCTCCGCCTGGGAATCAAACCCAGGTCCTCCCGCTTGCGAGGCGAGCGTGCTAATCGCTACCCGACAGGATTTCCTCTCCTCTCAGAGACCAAATTTGATATCCTTTCAATAACCCCGTCATTAACCGTGTTTGCATACTTCTACATGTTTTCACGTTTCACAGGTTTGTGTGTTTGACATGTTTCTATGCGTTTTCATGTATTTCGCAGGTTTGTGTGTTTCTGCACTTTTGCGTCAGACAAGCGGAGGCAGCTCACTCACTTTTTGGCCTTGCGAGGGGTGATGTTGAATGGGGGTCCGGGGGATCCAAGAGACTTCGGGAACAGATCAACCCACAGCTGCAGCCTTCCCTGTAAGCACCCCAGAGACGTTAACACTGATTGTCACAGTTTGTGTGAGCAATACAATACAAAATTATGACTTTCCCATCGGGAGGACATCCCAAGGCACTGGACAGTCAGGGATTTGGAGACGAGCTGGGGATTGGGATCGGGGGGGTGGAGGGCAGGGTGGGTAGGAGGGTGGCCGAAGGCGCGGTCGAAGAGGAGGGTTTTGAGACCCGCCTTGAAGGAAGCAAGAGAGGGAGCGAAGTGAAGGTACTGTGGGATGGAATTCCAAAGGGTGGGGGCAGAAAGGCTAAAGGCCCGACCGCCAATGGTGGAGCGAGCCGGCGGGGCAGGTGAAGGACATGAGCAGAGACGTTCACACTGATTGTCACAGTGTGCATTAACATTGACTTCAGCGTCTGTAACAGAGACAGTAACAGTGTGTATAAGCAGACATTAATTAACACAGTGTGATAGTGAGTATGTTAATGAGAGACATTAATACTGAGTGTAACAGTGAGTGTGTTAGTGAGAGACATTAAGACTGAGTGTGACAGTGAATCTGTTAGTGAGAGACATTAACACTGAGTATGACAGTGAGTGTGTTAGTGAGAGACATTAACACTGAATGTGACAGTGAGTGTGTTAGTGAGAGGCATTAACACTGAATGTGACAGTATGTAGCAAGGACATTAACACAGAGAGTGACGCTGTGTGTAATCAGGGCTGGGGCTCTGACCTGCTCGATGTCGGGCTGGAGGGGGCTGTAAAGAGGTCTTGTCTCTACATGTTCGGGGATCAGTCCTTGCTTGCGGAGTACGTACAGAGCCAGGCGCTCATCCGGAGGACCCAGGTGAGGGTTGGGGGTCTTCCTCGCCTCTGCAAACAGAGAGAAACACTTCAGCAGCCAGCTCCGAAAGGCAAACTATGTGGTTTTATTAAATGGTAATAATAATAATCCTTGCATCACATCTTCAAGACGTCTCAAGGCTCTTCACAGAATATACTGTAAAGTGAATTGAGTGTATATTTTGTGGGTGAAGATGCCTAATGATGTCTGCTTGGTGTCAGAGTGGTGGGGGAGGGGGAGACTGAGGGGTGGGAGGTGAGAGACCGAGGTGGGGGGGTGGCGCGTGTATGACTTACTAATGGCACTCACCGAGATCAGCTAGGTTGAAGTCCTCTCCACGGAAGGTGAGACTCCCGTCCCGATACACAGGAAGTCGATAACCTCGGCGCTGGGCAAACAGGCGCAGCCGCTGAGAGGGGCGGAGGGGCTCCCTCCACTGGTTTATCCCCGACCTGAGAGTGTGAAAAACAGAGTGAGAGAGAGGGAGAGCGCCTGCTACCAGCCGGGCGAGACTAAGGCTTACAGAGCAATGGAGTTGGAGGAACATCAACAACCAGGGTGGGGGGTGGGCGTGGGGAGGGTGGGGGTTGGGGGAGGGGCTGGGTTGGAGTGGGGGTTGGGGAGGGTGGGGGTTGGGGAGGGAAGGTTGGGGTGGGGAGAGTAGGGGAGGGTGGGATTTGGGGAGGGTGGGGGAGGTGGGGGTGGGGGATATGGGGGAGGGTGGGGTTTGGGGAGGTGGGGGTGGGTGAGGTGGGGGAGGGTGGGGGTTGGGGTGGGGTTTGGGGAGGTGGGGGTGGGCGAGGTCGGGGTGGGCAAGGTGGGGGTGGGGGAGGGTGGGGGTTGGGGAAGGTGGGGTTGGGGGAGGGTGGGACTCACGTGCAGTAGGTCTGGGGGAGGCCACAGCAGGCTTCGAAGCGAGACAGAAAGCGGTTTTCTAAGTCGATAATGGTCTCTCCGATCTTCTGGTCCTTGGACAGCATGTCATAGTCATACAGCGTCACCCGCAGGTCCTTGTCGATCGGCAGCACAGCCGTCAGCTCATACAGCCTGGGGGGCAGCAACCACAGGGTAATCACTGTAGAGGGAACGTTACTCTGTCTCTAACGCTGACCTGGGAGTGTGGATGGACAGTGTAGAGGGAGCTTTACGGTGTCTGTAACGCTGACCTGGGAGTGTGGACGGACAGTGTAGAGGGAGCTTTACGGTGTCTGTAACGCTGACCTGGGAGTGTGGACGGACAGTGTAGAGGGAGCTTTACGGTGTCTGTAACGCTGACCTGGGAGTGTGGACGGACAGTGTAGAGGGAGCTTTACGGTGTCTGTAACGCTGACCTGGGAGTGTGGATGGACAGTGGAGAGGGAGCTTTACGGTGTCTGTAACGCTGACCTGGGAGTGTGGACGGACAGTGTAGAGGGAGCTTTACGGTGTCTGTAACGCTGACCTGGGAGTGTGGATGGACAGTGGAGAGGGAGCTTTACGGTGTCTGTAACGCTGACCTGGGAGTGTGGACGGACAGTGTAGAGGGAGCTTTACGGTGTCTGTAACATTGACCTGGGAGTGAGTGTGGATGGACAGTGTAGAGGGACGGTTGCCCTGTCTCTAACCCAGGCTGTGGCTGGTCTGGGAGCGTTGGATGTTGACTCTGGGAGCCAAAATTTGGAAAATTGAGCATGTTCCAGCTCAAACAAACACATGGGAAACCGGAGTTCTTGTGGTGGGAGTAAGTTCGGAAGAAATGAATGAGAAAGTTTACAATGAAAACCTCAAGCTAAGTTTGTGCGGTGCGTCACTGGTTACAGTGAAGTCAGATGTGGAAATGTGGGAGCCCGTTCTGTGCCTGTGAGTCAGGCTGTTAGTCAGACACTGTTTGGCTTGGCTCAGTGAGAGCGAGTGGAGCGGTGCAGCCAAGGGTAAGTTCCTCACAAGTACACAGACCGCCGACCGCTCCCCTCCCCCTCCCCGCAGCTCAACTCACGCTCTCTCTGGGTCACAAGTTCGTGGGTTCATGCCCCCACCCCAGGTACTCGGAGCTCCCAGTCCAGGCTGACTCCCAGCGCAGTGGTAGAGAGAGCGCCGCATTATGAGAGATGTTAAACTTCACTCCCCGTCAGTTCCCTGTTCAGACGGATGTTAAAGATCCCACTGCGCTCATTGAAAAGAGAAGGGAGTTTCTTTCTCCCGGTGTCCTGGCCCACAATTACCCACATAAAATCAGTCATGAACTTCCTGACAGTTTGTGGGATGTTCCTATGCGCAAATTGGCTGCCATGTTTCACCCACAAAATACATTACACATGACAGCAATTCTCTGTGAAGCACTTCGAGGCACTTTAATGTTATTGTCATCATTGTATATTTCTCCGCCTGTCGGAGGCGCTGTGTTCAACGGCATTACACACACATATACTGGGCTATAAACACACACACACACACACACAAACTGGGTGAGACACAGACACGGACACTTACACACAGAGGGAGACTGTATGTGGAATGTTGTGTACTGGATCTGATTTATGTGGTAGAGAGAGTAGAGAGAAAGAGATAGGAGGAGGGAGGACAGACGGAGAGAGAAAAAAAAGGAAAGTTAGAGAGGAGAAAGGAAAAAAAGAGGAGAAAGAGAGAAAGGGTGAGAGAAGAGGGACAGAGTGAGAGAAAGTTAGGAGAGTGCACTTTTGGTGAAACTTTGACATTGGACTGGGTGTCAGAGAGGGCTTAATGTTGTGGTTTAATACCTTCCGAAATCGGGCTCCAATGTGCACGGGATGTAATTCTCCTGGTCACTGACTGACTTCTTACCCAGAGAGATCTTCACATAGGGGTCACACTGTATACAGAGAGATAGAGAGAAAGCGCAAGAGATAGAGAGAGAGAGAGAGAGTGAGAGAGCAAGAGAGCGAGAGAAAGAACGAGAGAACAAAAGCAAGAGAGAATGAGAGAGAGAAAGCAAGAAAGTAAAAAACACGAGTGAGAGAATGAGAGCACGAGAGAGGAAGAGTGAGAGAGCAAGAGAGTGTGAGAGAGAAAAAGAGATAGCAACCAAGAGAAAGCGAGAGAGAGAAGGCGAGAGAGAGATCAAAAGTGAAAGCAAGAGCAAGAGAGAATGAAAGAGATGGTGAGAGAGAAATAGAGAAAGAGCGAAAGTGCCAGAGAGAGAGGGAGACAAATAGAGAGAGTGTGAGAAGAAGAAAGAGTACGAGAGAAAGCGAGCGAGAGAGAGAGAGAGAGAGGGGGAGTGAGATCAAACACAAAAATGTACATCCTCACACTCGGCTGTTTGTGTCTCCCAGGACCGGGGCTTTGGCTGGGTTGTGTATCTCCTGTGTGCTGGGATCTGGCCCAGACTCCCATTTTCCCTTTTTCTTCCCCTCATTATCTATGTCTGGGAATTTCTTTCCCTCTGACGTGTCTACAGTCCTTTCCCTGTTTACCCTGATATCTGCCAGACCAGTAGGGAATCTCTGACAGCCGGGGGGTTGTTTTTCTGACGAAGATTTTTTTCCGCAAAGAAATAACCTCCTTAAATATTCTTTCCTGCAAATTTGTACATTACCGATGTTCCCGGAAAAAAATCCTAATCTTCCTCATCTAAATAGTGCCTGCGGGTTTTAATTTTTTGTCTGGGCTATAAAATGACATTAAAGGGATGGGTCATCATGACATCGAGACGGCCCAGGCCCTTTAAAAGCAGACAGAAATTATGGAGTTTCCCAGGAAACTGCACCAAGGCGTGAGATCAGTGAGGTCACACAGAAAGCCGTGAAGTGAGCGAGAGATTTTATCTGGGGGATTGTCGGCCAGAACACTGGTAGAGAGAAACTCCCTTCTCTTTTCCAACAGCGCCGCGGGATCTTTAATTTCTCAGTCAGAAGGTTGTGGGTTCGAGCCCCCAAGTCAGAAACTCTGAGCTCACAGTCCAGGCTGATGCTGCAGTGCAGTGCTGGGGTGAGTGCCATATTGGCAGAGGTGCCGTACTTCAGATGAGATGTTAAGCTGAGCTGCGGTCTGTGCCTGTTCAGGTGAATGTTAAAAATCCAGCGGTGCTATTCGAAAAGAGAAGGGAGTTTCTCTCTCCCGGTGTCCTGGCCAACAATCCCCAGATAAAAACACTCGCTCACTGACTGTTTATGGGACGTTGCAAAAACTGCTGTGTTTGCCTACAAAACATACTGTCACAATATTTCACAGCAATTACCAGGAAGCACTTGTTTTTGATAAAGAGCATTACACTATCCATTACAATATCCATCACATCACCCACCCCCACAACCCTCCCCTGATATATTTACCACTGCCAGTGTTTTTCATGGGCTCTTATTATCCTCCTTCCGGTGTCTGACATATGCTGAAACCTGTCACCATGCTTAACAGTATCCAAGCCAAGCTGAGATTTCCATGTATCCCACCTACACATGAAAATCCCAGAGATAGATTATTGCAATGGAATGTCCGCTCTCTCCCTGGAGGGATGTATCTTACCTAATTCCCAGAGTGTGTGTTGAGGTAACTGCTGGAGTCCAACCAGCTAAAACCACATAGCTTGCCATTGAGAGCATTGCCTAGCAAGCTTTCCAGCTGCTTGTCCAGCTAGGACCACCCTACCTTTTAGGGCTTTGGCTTGCAAGGTTAACAACAACAAAATAAATTTGTATAGCGCCTTTGGAGCTGAGTGGGCGGTTTCCCTGTCCCCAGTGACTGATCTGCCCTTCCAAGTCCTGCTGATGAGCCAGGCTGGGCTGTACTGTGCCCTGGGATACTGCGGACCCGCTTGGCTCAGAACCCACTAGAGACCATCACAGAGGGTGGGCTAACATTCCGTTGGCAGGGAATTCATCCTGGAGCCTGTTCAGCCTTGAGGAGACCCCGCTTACCTCCTCCCCCCAACACTGCTGATGACATCGGCAGGACTTGGAAGGGCAGCGAAACACTGGGGACAACATACACTCTGGGGTCCCCAGGCCTTGGCTCTTACCAATCTGCGCCTAATGCTCTCTGGAATTAGGTAAACAGGATGTTTCCCTCCAGGGAGAGAGCGCACATTCCATTCTAACAATCTATCTCTGGGATTTCCATGTGTAGGTGGGTTACATGGAAATCTCAGCTTGGTTTGGATACTCTTAAGTATGATGATGGGTTTCTACATATGTCAGACACCCAACTGATCAACACCCCCACCCACCCCCAACCCCACACCCCGTACCTTGCCATTCGAGTCCTTTGGTTGGAGACCGAAAGCCCTGATGACGTAGACTCTGACCACACACTCCTGGAGACTGCTGGTTGGGACCTGTAGGAACTGACGAGGAGGCGTGGGCAGCGAGGGGTCATCCGGTAGAGGGTAGATCTTAAAATTACCCTGAGGACGGGAACAACAAGAACTTACAATTACACAGCGCCTTTCATATTGGGAGGATGTCCCAAGGAGCTGGACAGTCAGGAATTTGCACCCGAACTGAGCTGGGGGTTGGGATCAGGGAGGTTTGGAGGGCAGGGCAGGTCGAAGGCATAGTTGAAGAGGAAGATCTTGAGATGGGCCTTGAAAGGGGCATCAGAGGGAGCAAGATAAGTGGAATGTGGGATGGAGTTCCAAAGGGTGGGGGCAGAGGGGCTGAAGGCCCAACCTTCGATGGTGGGATGGTCAAGGCTGGGGATGTGGAGCAGGCCAGAGCCTGCTGAGTGGAGGGAGTGGACAGGTTGACATGGAGTCACAGAGGTAGAGAGGAGCAAGGTTGTGGAGTGCTTTGAAGGCGAAGATGAAGATTTTGAACTCTATCCTCTGGGGGATGGGGAGTCAGTGGAGCCGGGTTGGGGTGATAGGGTCACAGAGCCTGATGCAGGACAACATGGGATTAACTCACACAAGGGTGAAGGGGGAGGGGAGGGAGGCTGCCAGAGATCCCGAGACCTTGTTTACCTTGAACTCGCCTACCACCGTAGGGTCCTCGGTCTCATCACCGGATTTGCCGCGTTGAAGCTGGAACGTGCGGCAGAAATCAGCCAATCCCTGAAAAGCAGTCACTTGCTCCAGCTCCTTATCATACACCTGAGAGGGGGGGAGGGGGGTGGAGGTGGATAGAGGGTGGAGAGAGAGAGAGAGAGAGAGAGAGAGGGGGGGAGAGAGAGAGAAAGAGAGCGAGGGGGGGTAGAAAGAGAGAGTGGAAGATTGAGGGAGCAGGAGGAGAGAGTGGGGAGAGAGAAAGGAGGGAGAGAGAGAAGTGGGGGAGAGAGGGGACACAGAGAGCGGAGGGTAAAAGAGAGAGTGGAGGGGAGAGGGGGAGAGAGGTGGAGGGAGAGAGAAGGGAGGGGAGAGACAGAGAGAGGGGAAAAGCGAAGAGAGGGGGGAGAGAAAGAGTAGAGGGTGACAGATAGAGAAGGGGGAGAGAGGAGGGGGTGGGAGAGTGTGAGAAGAATGGGAGAGAGAGAGAAGTGTGGAGAGTGAGCGAGGAATGGAAGGAGAAAGGGAGATCGCGGAAGAGAGGGGAGAAGACGGAAAGAGGGAGAGTGAAAAAGAAAAGGAAAGAGAGAGAGGAAGAGAGCATGGGGGAGAGAAAGGGCAAGAGGGGGAGTGTGGGAGAGGAACGGAGAGCCAATGAGAAAGAGGAGAGCAAGGGAGAGAAGGGGTAGAGGGAAAAAGAAAAAAGGAGAGGGTGGGGGAGGGGGGGAGAAAGAGAAAAAAGGAGAGAGGGAGGGTGGGGTGGGGGGAAGAGAAAAAAGGAGAGTGAGTATGCGAGAGTCGTGATGAGGTGCAATGCGCTGCCAGGCTGACCACAATCCAGGGGAAATGTGTGCCTGCAGACTGGGAGGAAACCACGGTGACTCTGGCACAGAATTGTGGAAAACTCCTCAATCCACTCTTTATTCGGGAGCCGGGTTTCCGCCGTTCTCAACAAGAATCTCCGCCTGGATTAGCGGAACTTTCCACAATTCTGTGCAATCTCTCGCTTTAATACCATACAGTAAAAAAAAATGCGGTCACTCAATCCACGACTGTTTGTTGGACACTGCTGCACGCAATTGGCTGCCGCGTTTCGCCCACAAAATACACAGTCAATTCACTTTACAATATATTCTGTAAAGTGCTTTGAGACGCTATATTAAATGCAAGGATTACTATTGTTAAATGCGAGACAATGTGAGGCAGTCTGGAGATTTTCAAGACTGAGGTCTATAGATATTTGTTAGGTCAGGGTATCAAGGGATATGGAACATAGGAACTTAGAATTGTTAAATGATAAAAGACCATCTATTTGACTTCTACCATCCCGGTCGTCACATGCTACAATAATGGAGATGTTGATAGCAACTAATTCTGTATGGATTAGTCTACAACACAGTGGAAAGCTTTGCGAACTTGAATTGCCTGCTTCTTCCAAGCCATACTACACTAACTATATGACATGTCTTACTCATATACTGCATCCCAAAATATTATTTTCTAAAAGAAATCATAGAATCATAGGATCATACAAATTATACAGCACAGAAGGAGACCATTCGGTCCATCGTGTCCGTGCCATCTCTTTGAAAGAGCTATCCAAATTAATCCCACTCCCCCGCTCTCTCCCCATAGCCCTGCAAACTTGTCCTCCCCAAAATATCGATCTACTTCTCTCTTGAAAGTTGTTATCGAATCGGCTTCCACCACCCTTTCAGGCAATGCATTCCAGATCCAAACAACTTGCTGTGTGAAAAAATTTCTCCTCACCTTCCCTGTTTCTTTTAACAACTATTTTAAATAGTGCCCTTGGGTTACCAACCCACCCACCAGTGGAAATAGTTTCTCCTTTTTCACCCTATCGAATCCCCTCATAATTTTGAATATCTCTATTAAATTTCCCCTTAATCTTCTCCGCTTCAAGGAGAATAATCTCAGCTTCTCTCGCCTCTCCTCATAACTGAAGTCCCTTATTCCTGGTACCCTCCTGGTAAATCTCCTTTGCACCCTCTCCAATACCTTGACATCCTTCTTAAAGTGTGGAGCCCAGAACTGAACACAGTACTCTAGCTGAGGCCGAACCAGTGTTTTATAAAGGTTTACCATAACTTCCTTACTCTTGTATTTTATGGCCCTATTTATAAAGCCTAGTATCCCGAATGCTTTTTTTTAAAAACAGCTTTATCTATCTGTCCTGCCACCTTCAAAGATTTGGTTATGTGGAGCCCCAGGTCTTTCTGTTCCTGCACCCCCTTTAAGATTGAATTATCTGGCTTATATTGCCTCTCCTCATTCTTCCCCCCCAAATGCAAATCTGTCTATAGAAGAGAAGGCGAGTAAATGGAGTTGAGGTACCGATCAGCCATGATCCAATAGATTAGTGGAACATTAATCCCAATTCATTTTAAATAATAAAATATTTAAATATTAAAAATAAAATAATCCTTGTATTTGATATAACGCCTTATCACGTCTCAAAGGCTTTGCAGAATATATTGTAAAGTGGATTGATTGTGCATTTTGTGGGAGAAATGCGACAGTCAATTGCGCACAGCACAGTATCCCACAACAGCCATGGATTGAGTATGACTTAAAAATATTTAGGTAAATTTGAGCAATGGAAGCTTTTTTCTGGACGGTGGGTGAATAGTGAATGAATTTGCACAAGACAGCAGGAGCATGTGAGCTATACAGCTCAGTCTAAAATTAAAGTTAAAATTAAAACTAATTGTATCTCTGGAATGTTATACAGGAGTCCTGTAGCTCAGTGGTTAGAGCACTCGCCTCGCAAGCAAGAGACCTGGGTTTGATTCCTGGCAGGTCGAAACCTTGGGCAAGTTTCCTTACTCCGCACGCCTGATAATAATCCCTCAAGAAAAAATATAATTGGTCACTTCAATCCATGACTGTGTGTGGGACACTGCTGTGCCCAATTGACTGCTGGGTTTTCGCCCACTTGGGCAAGTTTCCTTACTCCACACGCTTGATAATAATCCCTCAAGAAAAAAACAATTGTTCCACGACTGTTTCGCTCACAAATATACAGTCAATTCACTTTACACTATATTCTGTGAAGCGCTTTGAGACGGCTTGAAGATCTGAAAAACGCTATATCAAATGCAAGGATTATTATTATTAAGTTTTATCTTAAGTGAGTTTTAATTAATTAATTAATTAATTAATCTCCTGATCCAATTCCCCAGCTCGGGTGCACATCCTTGACTTTCCAGGGCTTTGGGACGTCCTCCTGACGTGAAAGGCGCTATACAAATGTAATTTGTTGTCGATGTTAGAACAGGCTGGAGGGACTGAATGGCTGACTCTGGTTCCTATGAGCTGCTTTTAAAATGAGTCCCAATGTCCCGGCCTCAACAAAACATTTTGGGGGAATGTCCCTGCCCCCTACCCCACCTCCCACCCAACTCCCCTACTCTCCCACCTCCCCTGCCCTCCTCTCCACTCACTCCCCTCCACCCTAATTCCCTCCACGGCACTCCCCTCCACCCCAATCCCCTCCACGTCACTCCCCTCCACCCTAATCCCCTCCACCCCAATCCACTCCAACCCAATCCTCTCCTCCACCTTATCGCCACTCCCCTACCCACCTCCCCTCCCCCACCCTCACCTCCACCCCAATCCCCCCACCCGCTCCCCTGCCTTCCCTCCTCCGCCCAGCCCATCTAGGAGCTCTCACCTCCAGCGTGTCGAAGCCTTTCTCCAGGTACGTGCCACACTTGTGTATCTCCCCCGTCGAAGAGTAGAATTTGCCCCACCAGTCGATGAACTCATCCTGCTGTAACACAGAATGAGGCAGAGCTCAGGGATGGACGGACAGACAACCCGCCTAGCCCTTGCTCAGCCGCTCACCCTCTCCTCCAAGTCAGATGGTCATCGTGGGTTCAAGCCCCCACCCCCACAAACATACTCTCACACACACACACACACACACACACACTCACATATACTCACACACACAGGGAATTGGGAGCTCACAGTCCAGGCTGACCCTAGAGGTAGGGAGCGCTGCACTGTCAGAGGCGACGTCCATTGGATAAGCTGTTAAATCGAGCTGCCGTCCTCATCTGTACTGGCGGATGTTAAAGATCCCACAGCGTTGTGGGAAAAAAGATGGGATGACTCCGGGAAGAACTCCCTTCTCTTTTCCGCTAGTGACATCAAGAGAATGTCTCAAAGTACTCGACACTACTGGCAGCTTTAAGGTCTCATCCAAAGGATGGCATCTCTGACAAAGTGGCGTTATCTCTCCCCAACAATGCATTGGAATTCAGAGTCCCCAACGTGGGGCCCGAACCCACGTCCACCTGACCCAGAGGTGAGAGTGTGAGAGCCCATCTTGGCCAGGCTGAGATCAAAGGACGCCAAACTGATAATACCTTGGTGTCAAGATCCCAGGTGAAAGGTGGGGTCACTCATGCAAAGGAAGGTAGAGAGGATAGAGGGAGTATGTGAGGGAGTGTGTGAGGGAGTGTGCGAGGATGGGAGGGAGGGAGAGAGGGAGAGAGGGAGGATGGGAGGGAGAGAGGGAGAGAGGGAGAGAGGGAGGGTCCACTCACCATCACCAGCTTCTGTCCTGCCTGAGAGCATCGATCCCGTCATACACAAAAGCATGGATTAGTCACAGAGAGAGTTAGTGTCAGAGAGCAACCGCCACCATAACCACTAACGCAACAACAACCACTACAACAACCACTACAACAACCACAACCACTACAACAACAACAACAAGCACTACCACAACCACAACAACAACCACTACCACAACTACCACAACAACAACCACTACAATAACCACAACCACTACAACAACAACAAGCACTACCACAACCACTTCCACAACCACAACAACAACCACTACCACAACAACTACCACAACCACAACCACAACAACAACCACTACCACAACAACTACCACAACCACTACCACAACAACAATCACTACCACAACCACAACAACTACCACAACCACAACAACTACCACAACAACTACCACTACCACAACCACAACCACAGCAACAACCACTACCACAACAACTGCAACAACAACCACTACAACAACCACAACAACAACCACTACCACAACTACCACAACAACAACCACTACCACAACAACAACCACCACCACAACCGCAACCACCACCACCACAACAACCACCACCACCACAACAACCACCACCACACAACAACCACCACAACAACCGCAACAACAACCATAACCGAAACTGCAACCGCACCCGCAGCAACCACAACCACACCAACCACAACTACCATAACAACTGCAACAAAAAGAATCGCAAAAACAATGAGAACTACAACAACGAGCACCACAACAACCATCACAACAACAATAAAAACTACAACCACCAGCCCCGCAGCAACCACCAGCCCCGCAGCAACCACCAGCCCCGCAGCAACCACCAGCCCCGCAGCAACCACCAGCCCCGCAGCAACCACCAGCCCCGCAGCAACCACCAGCCCCGCAGCAACCACCAGCCCCGCAGCAACCACCAGCCCCGCAGCAACCACCAGCCCCGCAGCAACCACCAGCCCCGCAGCAACCACCAGCCCCGCAGCAACCACCAGCCCCGCAGCAACCACCAGCCCCGCAGCAACCACCAACCCCGCAGCAACCACCAGCCCCGCAATAACAACAAAAACAATCCCAACAACAATAAGAATTACAACAACCATCACAACAACCACAACAACAACCACAACCACAGCCACCACAACAACGACCACATCAACGACCACCATCACAACAACCACCATCACAACAACCACCACCGCAATCACCACATTAACTTGGACTTATACTTTGCACTTCACATCGAGTGTGTCACTGTAATGGGGATGGACACTGAGCAGGGAGCAGGTGAAGAGGCAGGCCGTCAGATGCCTTTTAGGCATAGAGAGGGGGGACGAGGCAAAGTGGTTGAGGGAGTGAGTTATAGAGTTTAGGAGCCTGGTGGAAACAGTGGAGCCTGGTGAGGACAAGGGCGATGCGCATACAGAGTTTGGTGTGGTTGAGGAGCGTGATCTGCGTGTGATTTGGGAGCGTGATTTGGGGGGGGGATGTTCAGCTTGAAAGCTTATAATAATATTCCTTGCATTTGATATCGCGTCTTATCATGTCGTTGAGACGTCTCAAAGCGCTTCACAGAGTATACTGTGAAGTGAATTGACTGCATACTTTGTGGGCGAAATGCGGCTGCCAATTACGCACAGCGGCGTCCCACAAACAATCGTGGATTGAGTGACCACATTTATTTTTGTGAAGGGATTATTACTCTTGGAAAGTGATCTACCAATCCTTCTTACTGCTAGGTAAACAGGCGTGTGGAGAAGGGAAATTTGCCTAAGGTTTTGCCCTGCTCGTTAAGGACACTCATTACCTGTCCTTGTGCTAATTAGCACATCACAAGTCGCATATTGCCGGCCCCAACCTTGCTCATAAGCTTTGTTCTGTGATTGTGGGGGCAGCGGGGAGATTGCATGTGACATGGAGAGAGATAAAGGAAGCCATACATACATGGAGACTGGACTGAGAAGACCACGTCAAACCGTCTGCAAACTACAAAGCAAACCAGCCGTTAGTAACTGTTAAAGTGAGTCCACGGGATGAGCAGAGATGTCAGTCACAAAACACACTGCCCCACCCATCCCACACCCCAAAGGCAGCAATGGGGAAGTCCTCCTCACCCAGACACTGAACAAAGCCAAAGAATGTAACATCTGGATACCCAAAAGAGGGGAACTGCCTCCCTCTCCTCTCCCCCATGCCTCTTGGAGAGCCTCAAATTTCACCCAGTCTCAGCCTGCAGTGCTCTACCCCCAGAGTGAAATTGTGGAAAATCTGTTTTTTAATCCGGGAGACAGTTATATAGAGTGAAGTAACATGGAAATAGACCATTTGACCCAACTAGTTCATGCCAGTGTTTATACTCCCTCCTCACCCGCTCTCCTCTTCCCCTCTAATCCCTTCTCATGAATGCACCAAGTTTCCTCTTAAATACATTTAATCCATCCTTCAAATAAGACATTAAACTGAGCTCCCATCTGTGCCTGTTCAGGTGGACGTTAAAGATCCCGTGCGCTATTGGAAAAGAAAAGGGAGTTTCTCCCTCCCGGTGTCCTAATCAACTATCCCCCAGATAAAATCAGTCACTCACTTCATGGCTGTATGTGGGATATTGTTGTGTGTAAATTGGCAGCCACGTTCACCCACAAAATACAGTCACTACATGATACAGAACCACATTGAGACAGTTCAGCGCTATAGATGCTGGATCAAATCCAAGTAAATTATTTTTAAAAATACACAAATTAGGCCTAGCATCTCTGCTGTTTCCGTCAGGGTCAGTGACAGAAACTAGCCGTGAGGGGAGATCAGGAGATTGTTACTGTTAGTGACAGGTTAGTGAGATGCTTAGCAAGAGAATTAGTGAGAGATTAGAGAGATGAGTAGCTAGTGGGTAAGAGACAGGGTTAGTGAGAGATTTAGTGAGAGGATTATAGTCTGAGAAACCTAAACACACAGTGAGTGGACATTCTCCCACTGCATCACTGGGGGTACAGCCATGGAGAGAGAGAGAGAGGGGTGGTGAGGAAGATGGGGGCAGGGAAGCGGGCGGGGGGGGAGAGAGATGGGGAGGAGACCGGGGAGGGAGAGGGAAGGGATGGTAGGGGGTAGGTGTGAGGTTGTTACCTGCCCTGTGAGCAGAGGTTCTTGTTCATCGATGTCGATAAGGATGTCGTCTGGGAGTAAGGAGTTCGGTGTATCTGCGAACAGTGAGAGTCTAAACACAGGCACAGGAGGTCATTCAGCCCATCAGCCTGTTATAGTCACACAGGGTCACAAGACCATTCAGCCCATCAGCCTGTTATAGTCACATGGGCGCAGGAGGCCTGTTACACCAATTTATTACATCACAACAGATCTATAATAATCCTAGCATTTGATGTTACGCCTTATCGCCCACAAAATGTACAGTCAATTCACTTTACAGTATATTCTGTGAAACGCTTTGAGACATCTCATTGACATAAGACATTATATCAAATGGAAGGATTATTATTATTAGCATTTCTCAAAGCGTTTCACTGTGAAGTGGATTGTCTATGAATTTTGTGTTCTACTGTCTCTGTGCATATAAAGTGTGATGTGACATTTGCACATTGCGTGCATATAGCCTGCGGATAGTGTGCAAGTGCTTTGCTCGTGTTTTTGCATACAGTTTGCCCACCATTTGCACAACATTTAAAACATAAGAATTAGGAGCAGGAGTAGATCATTCGGCCCTTCTAGCCTGCCCCGCCAATGGACGTCATTTGCGCGTCATTTGCAGAATGTTTACACAGGGTTTACACTTGGCCTCACATGAATTGCCCTGGGTTTGCGCATTGCCACATAACATCGCTTCTTGCCCCATCACTCACCGGTCTGGATCTCAATATTCTGTACAGCCTCCTGGTTGGGGTCACAGTAGAACTGTTCAAGGGAGCGGATGGTGCACTGGCCGACCACGGGCCTCCTCCCAAACTGCCTGTTGTCAATCAACTTGACTAGGATGGGGGGCATGTAAAGCTCTTCCTTTGGGAGCCGCTGCCGGCAGAGAGAGTATAATATCAGTCACACCTGCCATCATTTTCAATCTTTGCACTGTCTTGCTCACTGGTCCAAGAGAGACCCAGTGAGCGCTGGCAATTAATAAGGGAAACAACACCTCACATGGCTCAACTTGACATGACACAGCTCGGAAACAACCCACCCACCAACCCAACCACCAGCCTCTGTGTCCCCTCTGACCCTGGCCCCCCTCTGACCCTGTTTCCCCTCTGACCCTGTTCCCCCTCTCTAACCCCACCTCTGTATTGCACCAAAGAAGTCAACCTGCTCCAGACAGAGCAGGCAGACTCACTCACCACTTCCATGAAGAGCACAGACACGTCAAAATTCGGGTTCTTTTTGGCATTTTTGATGACACACGACTGGATTATTTGACCTCCACACTCCACCACCAGGCTGGGGGACGTCACACTGGCCAGCTGGTAACTCTTCACGTTCCTCACACCCCAGGCCAGGATCTGAGCATGGATATACAATACACACACATGCACACACACATATACGCACAATACACACACATTTATGTAAATACATAATTCAACACACACATCCACACACGCACAATACACCACACACGCACACACACGCACAATACACCACACACGCACACACACAGATACATACACACACACAAACACAAGCACACAAAGGTTATAGCCTGTTATATACTAGCATTACTGTTATAGTAATATCACTGTTAGATACTGTATAATTATCCAATATAAACCTCTGATAACTGGTCACTCCAGTTATCAAGAGTAGTGAGTATGTATAAATGCATAAGTAAATGCAGGAGGGATATTGACAACGATAATGACTTAACTGGTTGTGACACGTTAAGCCAGGGTCGAGTTATCAGGAGGTTACTGTGGCAATTATAAAATATCAACAATATCAGTAATAATAAAATGTCATAATATATTATTAATAGTATAACAATAATATATTATAATATTAATTTTGGCTAGTTTATGTGTTCCGGGACCCTACAACGTGTGAAGGGCACTATATAAATGCAAGCTGTTGTTGTAGAATATAACAATAAAATAATATCAGTAAAAGCAACAACAACTTGTATTTATTTAGCCTTCACGAGGGATAGCATCTCGGAGCACTTAACAAATAATAACAATAAGAGTAATAGAGTAACACTAATAATAATATAAGCACAATATAGGTAATAATTATCAGTAATAACACAGTCCTTACATTTGGTATTTGGTACAGCGCCTTATCATACAATTTACTGTAAAGTGTAGTGACTGTGTATTTTGTGGGTGAACATAGCAGTCAATATGCACACAGCAAAGTCCCACAAACAGCTATGAAATGTGTGACTGATCTTATCTGGGGGATTGTCAGCCTGGACACCGGGAGAGAGAAACTCTATTCTCTTTTCTAATTGCCTCACAGGATTTTTAATGTACATTTGAACAGGTATAGATGGGGCATCGCTTTAACGTCTCATCCAAAGGGTGGAGAGTGACGAAAATAAAGATATTAGTTAAATAATAAATTAATATTTAAAATAAAATATAAACAGAAGGCTGTGGATGTTGGATCCATTCAAATTTTCAAGATTGAGGTGGATAGATATTTGTTAGGTCAGGGTATCAAGGGATAATAATAATAATAATAATAATAATAATAATAATAATCCTTGCATTTGATATAGCGCTTTTCATGTCAGGAGGACATCCCAAAGCGCTTCACAGAACACACTGTAAAGTGAATTGACTGTATATTTTGTAGGCGAACGCAGCAGCCAATTGCGCACAGCAATGTCCCACAAACAGTCGTAGATTGAAAATGATCAATTTATTATTGTTTTTGGTTTTTGGAGGGATTATTATTAGGCTCTGTGTGGAGTAAGGAAACTTGCCCAAGGTTTCGCCCTGCCTGGAATTGAACTCAGGTCTCTCGCTTGCAAAGCGAGTGCTCTAACCACTGAGCTACAGGACTCCACATATGTGGGATATGGGCAAAGGAGGTATTTGGAGTTATAGAATGGTGGAACAGGCTCAAGGACTGAATGGCCTACTCCTGGTCCTGTGTTCCTATATATATCAGGAATAATAGGACAGACAACAGCAAAGTAAAAATCTCCAGCGGATGGAGGAGTGGATGACCTTTGGGGCAGTGTGATCACTGGATGAGATACTATCCTCCTTGGGTGGGGAGGTAAGTGGGATCTCCTTGGGGCCGAACTGGCTCAGCAACAGAATGTCGAAATCGAGCCCACTCTCTGTGATGGTCTCTTGTCAAGTTCCTGAGCCAGACGGGTCCGCAGTATTCCAGGCACTGCTGGTGACGGCACAGCCCAGCCTGGCTCATCAGCTGGATGTGGAAGGTCAGACCAGTCACTGGGGCAGGGACTCCTCCCACTCAGCTCCTGTTAACCCCGCAAATCAAAGCTTTAATGGCTAGGGTGGTCCTAGCTGGACAAGCAGCAGGAAAGCTTTCCAGACAGTGCTCTCAATGGCAAGCTATGTGGTTTTAGCTGGTTAGACTCCAGCAGTTACCCCAACACATACTCTGGGGTCCACAGGCCTTGGCTCTTGCCAACCTGTGCCTAATACTATCTGGAATTAGGTAAGTAAGGTACGTCCCTCCAGGAAGAGAGCGCACATTCCATTCCAACAATCTATTGCTGGGATTTCCATGTGTAGGTGGATACATGGAATTCTCAGTTTGGTTTGGAGACTCTTTACCATGGTGATGGGTTTCCATACGTGTCAGATACCTGGGTGATCAAATAAAACGGTGAAAGAGTGCGTACCTCAATGGCTGTGCGCTGTAGTACAGGCTTTATGCCCTGAGGCACCATGTAGATGTTAGGTTCTCGCTGTGGCGGAGGGTAAGGCAGGTCCGAGTCGTCATTCTAAGACAAGAACACAACAGGGTCAGGCCCTCAGCTCTCCACAACTGCTGTAAACCAGAGTGCAAAACAAGCGTGCAACCCGGCATGTAAACCGGCGGGCAAACAGTGCACAAACAGGCATGCAAACCAGTGTGCAGACCAGCATGCAAACCAGTGTGCAAAACGGTGTGCAAACAACACAAAAGCAGGAGTGCAAACGGCATGCAAACGGGCATGCAAACAGCACGCAAATGGGCGTGCAAACCAGTGTGTATGCATGTATGTATAGACAGACAGACGGTCAGTGGGTCAGACATAGGCTGTAAGTACAGGCGGACAGTCAGTGGGTCAGACACAGGCTGTAAGTACAGGCGGACAGTCAGTGGGTCAGACACAGGCTGTAAGTACAGGAGGACAGTCAGTGGGTCAGACACAGGCTGTAAGTACAGGCGGACAGTCAGTGGGTCAGACACAGACAAACAGCACGCAAATGGGCGTGCAAACAGCATGCAAACGGTGGTGCAAACAGCACGCAAACGGGTGTGCAAACCAGTGTGTATGCATGTATGTATAGACAGACAGACAGTCACTGGGTCAGACACAGGCTGTAAGTACAGGCGAACAGTGAGTCAGTGGCTACCCATTCCAGAAGCCCTTCAGAGAAGAAATCCGGGATGCAGAGCTGATAGAATGATGGAGGAAAATGAGAGAGAGAGAGAAAGAGAGAGAGAGAGAAAGAGTTAAAGACAGGAGTACATTGTGGCCCTCTCATAGTGCTGGGCTGGTTATAGCGCGGTTGCAGTGTGAGCCCATTAATTGCCCACGGCCGGCTTTCCGCGATAGAATGAGCGACTCCCGGAACACCGCGAGGCCATTCCCTCAGCAAATAGGAAGCGACATCAATGGTGACCTGAGAACCAGCGCGTCGACCATTTTGTTTTCTTTTAGCGCTGGAAATGAGCAGATTGTCCGGCCGGGCGTGCAGCGTAACGGTGCTTCAACTTTTGTATTTTCATTTAATAACTATTCTCAGGGCTGGAGCTGGGAATTCCTCCGCACTCTACACCCAGATTTAATCCGTGTGGGTCAGACACCCAGCTGATCACAATGAAGTGGCGTCTAATGACGATTTCTTACCTCCTTCAGGGTACTATGCTTCTCCTGATAAACCGTCCAAGGGGAGGAAGCAAAGAGAAACAGGCATGTTAATGGCATCAGTGACAACAGCCCACACAGCCCCACGTCTCACAGGCCTCCGCTGCCAAATGTACAGACTGAGTCTACGGACACATTTCTGTCCAACAGTCGCAGAACCATAACACTTTACAGCCCAGAGAAGGCCCATTGTGCCTGTGCTCCTCTGTGAAAGAGCGAGCCATTCAGTCCCATTGACCTCCATTCAGTCAGCAGTCACTGACTTTAGTACATTGTAGAGCAAGACTGAGTCAGAGAGACAGCCAAAGGGAGAGAAAGAGAGAGGATGATAGAATCAGAGAGTTAAAGAGAGAGGGTGAGAGAGTCAGAGGAAGAGAGAGAGTCAGAGAGAGAAAGAAAAAGTGAGAGAGGGAGATTCAGTCAGAGAGTTGGAGAGAGAGTCAGAGAGAGAGAGTGTGCGACTCAGAAAGAGGAGAGAGGGAGTCAGGATGGTAGTTTTTGGTTAGCACAATAATTACTGTGTATTTTGTGTGATATCCAATTATCTGCATTGTTGCTATATCCATAATCAGAGTAGGCCCAACTCTTACAGACCAATGGTGGAGCCAATGCAGAGGGGTGGGGGCAGTTCACCCTCTCCCATAGCGACCTTTAAGTGTACGTTTGGTGCCTTTACCTCCCACTCCAACCCTCTGTGTGCTGCCTCGTGCCCTATATAACCTGGTGAAAGGTAGTGTGGGGAGCGACAATAACACCCACCACCCCACCATTGCTAAACCCTGGCTCCACCACTGGTGCAGACAATGACCCTGGCCTGGTATTAGTTCCATCTTACCTCGGAGCTGGGGATTCGGTGGACGGAGCGCTGGGAGAGAAAAGGGAAAAAAATAATCCTTCCATTTGAAATAGCGTCTTATCACATCGTCGAGACGTCTCAAAGCGCTTCACATGATATACTGTAAAGTGGATTGACCTGTGTATTTTGTGGGCAAAAAGCAGCAGCCAATATCGCACAAGTGTCCCATAAACAGTCATGGATGGAATGACCAAATTATTATTATTACCCCTGGAAAAGCAATCCCCTACTCAACTAACAACCAGGTTCTTATTTACTGCTTGGTAAACAGAGACGTGTGGAGTAAGGAAACTTGCCTACGGTTTCGTCACGCCCTGGAATCGAACCCAGGTCCTCTCACTGGATACACAGAATATTGGTACAGAAAGTGATAACATTCTCACACCTGAAGACAAAGGTTCAGGGGAGTGAAGTGCAATTTTGAGGAAAGGGAAGTACACAGGTCTCCTCAGAGCTGAACTGGCAGGTCCACAGTATTCCAGGGCACTGCTGATGGCAGCAACTGGAGGGGTAGACCGGTCACTGGGGACAGGGACGCTAATAATAATAATAAACATTGCGTTTGATATAGCGCCTTATCATATCGTTGAAACATCTCAAAGCGCTTCACAGAATATACTCTAAAGTTCATTTACTGTATATTTTGTGGGAAAAATATGTCAGCGAATGGCATAACAGTGTCCCACAACCAGTCATCGATTGAGTGACCAAATTATTATTTTTTTTGAAGGACTTATTAACCCCGGAAAGCGACCTGCCAATCAACTAACAACTGGGGTTCTACATCCAGCTAGGCAAACAGAGGCATGTGGAGTAAGGAAACTTGCCTAATGTTTCGCCCTGCCCAGGAATCAAACCTGGGTCACACTCCAGGTTCTTCCCATCTAATAACCCTGCAAGTCAAAACCTAGCTGTTCAAACGCCTAATGTTAAACTTCCACCAATTTCAAAATGCTTCTGGTACCTTCTCTCGTTGAATGAGCTCAAAGGCAGCGAGCAGCTCGCCCGCTCCCCTCGTCCCTCGTGTGATGGGGAACCAGGCCAGGTGGGGGTCACGTTCTAGGGAGGGCTTGCAAATACACCGACCCATGAACTCATCAGCTCCCTGAGCACAGAAGACAACATATTAGCACCACCCCAACCAGCCCCTCCTCCCACCCCAACCAGTGGTAAAGCTTGCTCTCAATGGCAAGCTATACTGTTTTAGCTGGTTAGACTCCAATGCACACTTTGGAGTCCCCAAGTCTTGGCACTTGTCAACCTGCACCTAATCCGGAATTAGGTTAACAGGATGATGGAGGAGAGTCACTAGTTGGTCATTTGACAAACTCCTTTCTCTTTTTGAATAGTGCCATGGGATCTTTAACATACAAGTGAACAGGCAGACAAGACCCTCAGTTTAACTTCTCATCCGAAGGACAACTATTCTGACAATGCAGTGCTTCCCTAGCACTGCAATGGAGTGTCAGCTTTGACTGTGTGATTCCGAGTCCCAATGTGGGGACGAACTCATAACCTTCTGATTCAAAGGCAAGAGCGCTATCACTGAGCCAGGCCAATACCCAACACACACTGGGAATTGTGTTACTCAGAGATACCAATCACCAAGCAGTGACGGGAGCAAAGAGAGTGTCGGGCTTTTGACCAAAGGCACGGACTGAGAGATGTTTAAAAAGGTTTTGAAGGCAGAGAGAAGCAGTGAGCGTTCGTGGAATTTGGGGACAGTGACTGAACGGTCATGTGGGGTACAGGGAGCGACGAACAAACAAAGTCTTGAGATTAAAGACTCTGTTAATGCTTATTCTGATTTCAACCTTAATCACCCTTTCAGGCCACTGAAAGTCTTGTTCATGCCTTTATCACCTCCAGGCTCGACTATGCAAACGTCTGCTTGTTGGCCTTCCCATCTCCTCCCTCCACAGGCTGCAGATAATACAGAACTCTGCAGCCCGTGTCCTCTCCTGCACCAAACTCCATGACCCCCATCTCCCCCATTCTCGCCCAACTCCACTGGCTCCCTATCCTTCAGAGGATCCAGTTCAAGATCCTGGTCCTCACATACAAAGCCCTCCATGGCCTTGCCCCACCCTATCTCTGCGACCTCCTAACCCCCTACCAACCCGCCCATTCCCTCTACTCAGCCGGCTCTGGCCTGCTCCACATTCCCCGACCCACCCGCCCCACCATTGGCGGGAGAGCCTTCAGCCACTCTGCCCCCAATCTCTGGAATTCCATCCCTCAGTCACTCCGCTTCACCCCCTCCTTCGCTTCCTTCAAGTCCCGCCTCAAGACCCACCTCTTCGACCAGGCCATCAGCCACCCCGCTTCCCCTCCCTTCTCCCCCCCAACCCTAGCTTGGGTCTGAAATTCTGTACACTCTCCAGCACCTTGGGGCATCCTCCCAACGTGAAAGGCGTTATACAAATGTAATCTTGTTGTTGTTGATCAATCTCTGTTACTTTCCATTGTTCATCAAGACTCTTTGACACTGTTCTCAATCACTCTCCATTGATTCCTCAAGACTCTCCAGCCCATCTCAATCACTCTTTATTACTCTCCATCACTCTCTGTCACTCTTCATTACTCATCCTTACTCTCTGTCACTCCCAATAAGTGTCCATTGCTCTCTGAGACTCTATATTACTCCCAATGATTCCTCAAAGCTATCCAATCCTCCCCATCGCTCTCTGTCACTCTCCATTGCTCTATAATTATTCCTCAACACTATTCTCAACAACCTCTCTGCGATTAACAGTCTCTCCTCTCTCTGCATTCAAGCGCTCCTTAATGCTGCCCCTCATGAAGGGCGCTATATAAATGCAAGTTGTTGTTATCTCTGCCTAGTACTCGGGATCACTCTTCAATAGTTCTTCAACAGTACCCACCCTCTTTAAGAACTCTCCATCATTCAATCACTCTTCATTACACTCCAAAACTCTCCCTCATCACTCCAGACCCCCACCCATCAGGTCTGCTGGTTCACTTCTCTGCCCCTCACTTCCCCCACTCACCTCCCCCTCTCCTCCCCTCACACAACTCTCAAATCCTTATGGCTGACCTGCAGATGGCCAACCCCATTGCACCAACTCCCCAACACCCCCACCTCACCGACCCTTCCTGATTCACTGACACCGCCCCCTTCACTGACCTCGTCCATCACCACCCGTCAACCCCACTCCTCACCGCCCCTAAGCTCACCGACCCTGTACACTTTGCCAACCCCGCCCCTCCCTGACCCCCACTAACCACAAACCCTCACCGATCCCTCCCCTCCCTTCATTGATCCCACCCCCTCACCATCCCCTCCCTCCACGACACCCCACTGACTCCTCCTGCTCACTGGCGCCGCCTCTCACAACGTGCAATCACCGAACAAAGACGCTAACATCTAAACTCTCCTGCAGGATCGCCGCGGTGTGTGACTGTGCCAAGTGTCCCCATTCTTACTCTCCGTCAACGTAAACACTGCACGCTGGAGAATTCATGAAATGGAAAGCAAAAAAATACTGACATTTCCCCCAACCCCCTTCCCCCACACACAACAACCTCCCCCCCCCCCCCCCCCCCCCCACCCACCCAGCTCCCCCCACAAAACCTTCCTGACAACAAGCTCCTGCCCTGATGTGAAGTGGAGAAGTTCGAGCCAAAGCCAGTAACAGAACACTGATACCAGGCTATGTCATGTTATTGGCTCCAGCTTTACTGGCTAAAAATATACGCCGCATAAAATAAACATTTTGCTCGGGTTTCAGCGAGCTATTTTATCGGGGGCAGCTGTATATTTTGTTAAAAAGTGTGCTATTACTTGCCGAGGAGAGAGAGAGAGAGACGACAGGGAGAGAGAGAGAGAGAGAGATTATTTACAGTTCCACCGCTGAAGGAAAGCCACGAGCCAAGAATAGGGAATCAGCTGGGAGCATGGCAGGGTCAGATCTCTGGAACACGAGGCACAGTTTGTGGAAAATCCCTAAATCCTGGCTACATCTTAAATCCACGACCCCGCCCCCCCCAACTGCGCTGGAGCATCAGACCAGATGTGTGACCCTGCCTTCAGCCTCTCTGTCCCCACTCTCTGGAACTCCATCCCACAGTCATTTCCCCTCACTCTCTCCCTTGCCTTCTTCAAGGCCCGTCTCAAGACCTGCCTCTTCGACAGTGCCTTCGTGCCCTCCTACCCTCACCCTCCCAGCCCTCCAAGCATCCTGATCTCAAACCTCTGCTCGATTCCAAATCTCTGACTGGCCAGTGCCTTGGATGTCCTCCTGATGTGAAAGGCGCTGTGTAAATGTAATTTGTTGTTGTTGTTGTGCATGCGCAGTCCAAATGTCCTTCACACAGAGCTCCTGTCACCAAACCCCCCCAAAAAAGCTTCTCAATCTGTTCCCTCCCACCCAGACACTTCCCCCCACCCACCACCCAGTGACCCGCATCAACCCCCTCACCCAGTGATTTCCCCCACCCATGTCCGCCTCATGGGGGTCTCTGGCTTGGTTTGTGCAGAGTCATAGAATCATAGAATCTTACAGAACAAAAGGAGGCCATTCGGCCCATCGTGCATCGTTTACTTTGAAAGAGTCACCCAACTAGTCCCACTCCCCCGTTCTTACCCCATAGCCCTGCAAATTTTTTTCTTTTTTAAGCAGACCTTGATCTTCTTTCACCGAGGAAATCCCCCTCACCATCCCCCGCTAACCAGCCCCACCCCCTCTCCAGCCCCCTCTAACTAGCCCCGCCCCCTCACCAGCTCAGCCCCCTCACCAGCCCCGCCCTCTCACCAGCCCCACCCTCTCACCAGTGCCCCTCACTAACCCACTCTCACCATCCCCCTCCCACTTACATAAGTGTCGCTGTCGTACATCTCCACCACAATGTGGGGGGGGTTCTGAGCCACGATGCTGCTTGCCCCAAATATCTCTATCTCATAAAAGATCAGGGTCTGGTCCCAGGTGGGGTTCAGGGAGCCTCTGATAGTCACTGTTTTTTGGCTCTGGTGCAGGAAGGAGACAATTGCATAGGGGTCTGCAAGAGAAACACAACAAACTGTCACCCCCAGAGAGACAATATACAGTGAATCCACTTTACAGTATATTCTGTGAAGTGCTTTGAGACATCTCGATGACATGATAAGGCGCTATATCAAATGTAAAAATTATTATTGGACACACAGCAACCTCCAGAGACACAAGCAATGACCTCTGGCTCCCAGAGAAACACACAGCAGCTCATTCAATGGATCTCCAGAGATTAGAGTTTAGCACTCCCATTTAGAACGAAAGATATTTACAGCACAGAAGGAGGCCATTCAGCCCATCATATCTGTGCTGGTTCCTTTGAGGGCAATCCTTTTACTCGAGTCTGGCTCCCCTTTCACCAACCGCCCGTAGTTTAATACCCTGCTTAATGTGGTTTTAGCCAGTTAGACCCCAGCAAATACCCCAAATGCACACTCTGGGTTCCCCCAAGTATTTGGCTCAGGCCAACCTGCTCCAAATACTCTCCAGAATTGGTAAGCAGGATACATCCCTCAAGAGGGAGAGTCCACATTCCATTCAAGACACAGGAATTTATTCTCACATCAGGAGGGCGTCTCAAAGCTCTTCACAGGATTTACTGCAAGGTGTAGTAACTGTGTGTTTTGTAAGCAAACACGGGGGCAATTTGTGCACAGCAATGCATAACCCTCCACCCACCCCACCCCCAGCACTGCGCTGGAGCGTCAGCCCGGACAACGCAAGGGGGTATGAACTCGAGACCTTGTGACCCAGAGATCAGAGGCCCTTGTGAGTTGGACGGAGCCAGGCCGAGGGCAAAGGAGGGGTAGTGTCAAGGGCTACTGTGTAAAGTCCGATCTGTGTAAAGTCCAAGGTTTTTTTTTTGTTCGGAAAAAGGCAGAGACGTTAGAGAGGCGGTTTCCTGTCACACGTGGATCGGGTCCACATTTTCCATCGTAGGCCTGGGCAAAAAAACACAGCAACTTTTCACAATAAACATAAATTAAAGGGGAAGAAAAAAGGCTCCCTCAAGGGGTCTGAGGTCTGGCCCGGCCTCAAAAGCAATGCTTGAGAAGCAAGACTCCAGTGAGTGCTACTGCTGAGGTCCTGTGGTTAGGGAATAGCTGAGGAACAGAGCTCAGCCTGGCTGACCTTACGGGGCTGGAGTCCTGTAGAGTGGTGGTTAGAGCACTCATCTTGCAAGCAAGAGGACCCGGGTTCCATTCCCGGGCGGGGCAAAACCTTAGGCAAGTTTCTTTACTCCACACAGCTCTGTTTACCTAGCAGCAAGTAGGAACCCGGTTGATAGTCGATTGATAAATCGCTTTCCAGAAGTAATAATCCCTCCAAAAAAATAATTTGGTCACTCAGCGACTGTTTGTGGGACACTGTTGTGTGCAATTGGCCGCGGTGTTTCGCCCACAACACATACAGTCAATTTACTTTACAGTATATTCTGTGAAGCGCTTTCAGACCTCTCAATGAGGCGCTGTATCAAATGCAAGGATTATTATTGTTAGATAGCATTGAGTCGGGGACTCTGAGCTCACAGTCTAAGATGACACTCCAGCGCGGTGCTCTTTGACCCCAGCAAAGCATCAGCCTGGACTGTAAGGGCTGGAACTCACAACCTCCTGCCCAGAGGCTCATTCACTTACACACACACACAAGCCTGAGTCACTGGACACTCACCAGAGAAGCTGTCCTTATCCATCGCTACCAGGTCTCTCGCTTGGTAAAGGTAACATCTCAGGTGGTAGCGAGTCCCATCTGTCAACACAAACCAGAGTGTTTACAACACTAGAGAATGCCATTCCCCATCATGTCTGTGCTGGTGCTCGCTCCCCCACTGGAGCTCTCCACTCTAATCCCCCTCACTCTCATACACACACATCCTCTCACACTTACTCCCTCACGCACTCTCACACTTACACTCATTCACATACATGCACTCAGACCTGTACTCACGGTCGAAGATACAGGACACAGTCGGAGTGTTGACCCCGAGGGTAGTTGACCCTAATTTCTCCTCATTCTTGTCCTCAGTAACTCCGCCCTGCAACAAGAACAACAGAAAATTACATTTGTACAGCGCTTTTCACAGAGAGGATGTCCCAAGGTGCTGGACAGTTGGAGATTTGGATCCAAGCAGGGGGTTGGGATCAGGAAGGGTGGAGGTTAGGGAGGGTAACCAAAGGCGCGGTCAAAGAGGAGGGTTTTGAGATTTGTCTTGAAGGAGGGAAGGGAGGGAGCGAGGTGGAGGTACTGTGGGATGGAGTTCCAGAGGGTCTAAGCAGAGAGGCTGAAGGCCCGACCGCTGATGGTGGGGCAGGCAGGGCGGGGGACAACCAAACACATTTCTGTTACAGCGGGTGTTTGTTTGGATAATTGTATTATCATCGTCCCAAAAACTCCCATCAGCCCAAACCCCATCCTTATCCCTTGCTCCATTTACCTGCACCATCAACAATAAACTGCTGTGAGGCATTTTCTCCCATGAGAGGTGCTGTCTAAATCAACGTTACCGTGCTGTGTTTGTGGTGAACGAACGCTATGGGAAAAGAGAAAGGAGTTTCTCTCTCCTGATATCCTGACTGACAATCCCCCAAATATGGTTGATTCTTCACTTTACACCTCCATGTGTGTGTCTGTGGTTGTGTATATATATTACATCGAGGCTCGACTATGCCAACTCACTGCTTGTCGGCCTCCCCAACTTCATCCTCCATAGGCTGCAGATCATCCAGAGCTCTGCAGCCTGGGTCCTCTCCCGCACTAGGCTCTGCAACCCTATCACCCCCATCCTTGCCCAACTCCACTGGCTTCCCATTACACAGAGGATACAGTTCAAGATCCTGGTGCTCACCTTCAAAGCCCTCCACGGTCTTGCTCCCCCCTACCTCTGCAACCTCCTAAACCCTACCATCCTGTTCACGCTCCGGCCTGCTTCACGTCCCCCGCCTCGCTCACCCCACTACCAGCGGCCGGGCCTTCCGCCACTCTACACCCACCCTCTGGAACTCCATCCCACAATCCCTCTGTCTTGCCCCCTCCCTCGCCACCTTCAAGACCCATCTCAAGACCCTCCTCTTCGACCATGCCTTTCCCCCTGCACTCCCTCACCCCGTCCCTCAGTTCAGGTCCGAAACTCTGTCCGTCTAGCACTTGGAACATCCTCCCGACGTGAAAGGTTCTATACAAATATAATTTTGTTGTTGTTTATGTGTGTTTGTATATGTGTACATATATATCTATATGTATGTGTATATGCGCATGCATTGTGTCTGCATGCATATGGGTAGGTACGTGTAAATGTGGGTGTATGTATACGTGTATAATTGGTATGTGTGCGTGTATGTGTGTGTATGTATACGTGTCTAATGTATGTGTGTACGTTTATGTAGAGATATATACGCGTGCACTCGTACTTGTATATACGGGTGCACTCGTACTTGTATATACGGGTGCACTCGTACTTGTATATACGGGTGCACTCGTACTTGTATATACGGGTGCACTCGTACTTGTATATACGCGTGCACTCGTACTTGTATATACGTGCGCACTCGTACTTGTATATACGTGTGTACTCGTACTTGTATATACATGTGTATGTACTTGTATATACGTGTGTATGTACGTGCGGGTGCGTGACTGCGCCGTGTGTAAATTGCCGGCCGTGTTTCCCCCAATCACACAGTCACGGGTGGGGATTATTTCACCCGTTAACATCAGTAAACGTATCTTCAAAAAACCCTGTAAAATAACTGCCTCCCCTCCCCCCATAAAGAAATCCCTCCCCATCAAAAAAAAATGGTGCGGGTCAGGAAACCCAACACGGAGGTAAGATTGCCCCTCAGAAAGTCTAAATGGTTTGATTTTATTTTACAAAAGCATAATATTTGGTTTGAACCCCAGCCAACAAGCATGAGAAAGGTGGTCTTATTCACTGCAGACAGAGGCTGTGTTGAGGGGACTTGGAAAGAGCGGACTCGGGGCTGAGACAGCGATCAAAAAGGTCTGACAGTCCCCTGTGTATGTTCCCAACTCTGGGACATACAAGGCTTTCCTGTCTCCCTAATACCAGGCAAGGGAAAAGTTCAACTCTTCTTAAAGGAGAACTCTTTAAATACCTCTTGTCATTCCAGAGAGAGAGAGAGAGGAAACAGGGAGAGGGGAAGGTAACAAAAGAGATGTGTTCATTCCCTTCCTCCCCCTCCCATCTTCTGACCCGTATGGTCAGCCTTAAATGTGTCCCCTTGTCCCAAACCACCATATTATTATCAATAATACTAATAATAATCTTTATATTTCGAACAGCGGCTTAATAATAATCCTTGCATTTGACATCGCATCTTATCACATTGTTGAGATGTCTCGAAACACTTCACAGAATGCACAGTAAAGTGTAGTGTTTGTGTGTGAACGTGGCAGCCAATTTACACACAGCGATGGCCCACAAACAGCAATGAAGTGAGTGACTGATTGTATCTGGGGATTGTTGGCCAGGACGCCGGGAGAGAGAAACTCCCTTCTCTTTTCCAATAGCACCGCGGGATCTTTAATCTTTAACATCCACCTGATCAGGCAGACGGCAGCTTGGATTAACGTCTCATTGAAGGACGGCATCTCCGACAATGCGGCGCTCCCCCAGCACTGTGCTGGAGCGTCAGCCTGGACTGTGAGCTCAAAGGTTGAACCCACGAGCTCCTGCCCAAGGTGGGTGTGAGAGGCTGAGCCGGGGCGATCGAGCCTGAATGTTAGTTGCAATTACAACACACACCGAGTGTTCTTGACCGCCTCCGCACTCACCAGCGCCCCCTCCAGAGCGAAGACGGCGGCTGCTCCACTCTTCTGCAGTGGCTCCATCCTGCGTCTCCAGCGACGGCGACGAAAACTGTCCGTTTTCCGCTGTTTGAGGTGGAATTTCCAGCCAAAGAGGGAGGCGTACTCCCAGCCCTCATTCTCAGGCTCCTCAGGCTTGTGCTGCGGTAGGACAGGGTTGGGAGGGGAAGAGAAGCTGTGAGATGGGACTCAGCGCTGAAAAACAGCCCCAGGTATCTGGGCTCCGTCCCCACCAATCAACACTGAATATACACCTCCCGCGAGAGGTTTTACTGTCCAGTGACACAGTAACGTGAGTAATGTCCTGGGCCAATAGAAAAGTGCGGCTGCACTTTCTGGGTGTAATCTGCTATAAACACCCTCCTGCTCTACAAACCCGCTATGAATGTAGTTACTGGCCCGCGGGCCACTCGCTGGTTACCTGCCGTCACTGTGGGCGGAGCCGCTCCGGATGCTCATGCGCAGTGTGGCACAAGCGGCAAATGGGCTTCACTCAGAGGCCCCACTGTTGTGATTGTCTGTGTTTGTGAGTGACTGTGTCTCTCTGTGTGTATGTGTGTCTCTCTCGCTCTGTTTGTGAGTATCTGTGTTTGTGTGTCTGTGTTTGTGAATGCGCATGTGTGTGTCTCTCTATGTGTTTGAGTGTCTGTGTGTCTCTCTCTGTGTTTGTGAGCGTCTGTGTGTGTCTCTATCTGTCTCTGTATGTGTTTGTGAGTCTCAGTGTCTTTGTATGTGTGTACAGAGAGTACTCTCTCTGTGTCTGTGTGCCTCTGAGTATTCGTGAGTGTCTGTGTGTCTCTCTCACTCTGTTTGTGAGTGTCTGTGTGTCTCTCTGTGTGTTTGGAGTGTCTGTGTGTCTCTGTGCTTGTGAGTGTCTATGTGTGTGTGACTGTCTTTTTGTGTCTCTCTGTATTGTGAGGGTCTGTGTGTGCTTGCAAGTATGTGTGTGTCTCTCAGTGTTTGTGAGTTTCTGTGTCTCTCTCTCTTGTCGGTTTGTGAGTGTCTGTATGTCTCTCAGTGCTTGAGTCTGTGTTTCTCACTCTGTATTTTGAGTGTCTATGTGTTTCTTTCTCTATGTGCATCTTTCTCTATATGTTTGTGAATGTCTGTTTGTCTCTCTCTATGTGTTTGTGAGTGTCTTTGGGTCTCTCTGTGTTTGTGAGTGACTGTGTGTCTGTTTGTGAGTGTCAGTGTGTCTCTCCATGTGTTGGTTAGTGTCCGTGTGTCTCTGTGTTTGTGAGTGTCTGTGTGTCTCTCTATGTGTTGGTTAGTGTCTGTGAGTCTCTCTCTCTGTTTGTGAGTGTCTGTGTGTCTCTCTATGTGTTGGTTAGTGTCTGTGAGTCTCTCTCTCTGTTTGTGAGTGTCTGTGAGTCTCTCTCTGTGTTTGTGAGTGTCTGTGAGTCTCTCTCTCTGTTTGTGAGTGTCTGTGAGTCTCTCTCTCTGTTTGTGAGTGTCTGTGAGTCCCTCTCTATGTGTTTGTGAGTGTCTGTGAGTCCCTCTCTATGTGTTTGTGAGTGTCTGTGAGTCCCTCTCGCTGTTTGTGAGTGTCTGTGTGTGTCTCTCTGTTTGTGAGTGTCTGTGTGTGTCTCTCTCTGTTTGTGAGTCTCTCTCTATGTGTTTGTGAGTCCCTCTCTATGTGTTTGTGAGTCTCTGTGTGTCTCTCTCTCTGTTTGTGAGTGTCTGTGAGTCTCTCTCTCTGTTTGTGAGTGTCTGTGAGTCTCTCTCTCTGTTTGTGAGTGTCTGTGAGTCTCTCTCTCTCTGTTTGTGAGTGTCTGTGTCTCTCTATGTGTTTGTGAGTGTCTGTGAGTCTCTCTCTCTGTTTGTGAGTGTCTGTGAGTCTCTCTCTCTGTTTGTGAGTGTCTGTGAGTCTCTCTCTCTGTTTGTGAGTGTCTGTGAGTCTCTCTCTCTGTTTGTGAGTGTCTGTGAGTCTCTCTATGTTTGTGAGTGTCTGTGAGTCTCCCTCTCTGTTTGTGAGTGTCTGAGTCTATGTGTCTGTGAGTCTCTCTCTGTTTGTGAGTGTCTGAGTCTATGTGTCTGTGAGTCTCTCTCTGTTTGTGAGTGTCCGTGAGTCTCTCTCTCTCTGTTTGTGAGTGTCTGTGAGTCTCTCTCTCTGTTTGTGAGTGTCTGAGTCTCTCTCTATGTGTTTGTGAGTCTCTCTCTCTGTTTGTGAGTGTCTGAGTCTATGTGTCTGTGAGTCTCTCTCTGTTTGTGAGTGTCTGAGTCTATGTGTCTGTGAGTCTCTCTCTGTTTGTGAGTGTCCGTGAGTCTCTCTCTCTCTGTTTGTGAGTGTCTGTGAGTCTCTCTCTCTGTTTGTGAGTGTCTGAGTCTCTCTCTATGTGTTTGTGAGTCTCTCTCTCTGTTTGTGAGTGTCTGTGAGTCTCTCTCTGTTTGTAAGTGTCTGTGAGTCTCTCTGTTTGTGAGTGTCTGTGAGTCTCTCTCTGTTTGTAAGTGTCTGTGAGTCTCTCTATGTGTTTGTGAGTGTCTGTGAGTCTCTCTGTTTGTGAGTGTCTGTGAGTCTCTCTCTGTTTGTAAGTGTCTGTGAGTCTCTCTCTGTTTGTGAGTGTCTATGAGTCGCTCTCTATGTGTTTGTGAGTGTCTGTGAGTCGCACTCTAGTGTTTGTGAGTGTCTGTGTGTCTCTCTCTCTGTTTGTGAGTGTTTGTGTGTGTGTCTCTCTCTGTGTGTTTGTGATGTTCATGTGTGGTGTGGCGCAGTGACTGTGTTTGTCTCTCTGTGTTTGTGAGTTTCTCTGTGTGTATTCTCTCTGTGTATGTGTGTGTCTCTCTCACTCTGAGTGTCTGCGTGTGTCTCTCTGTCTGTGTTTGTGAATGTCTGCGTGTGTCTCTCTGTGTTTGTGAGTGTCTGCGTGTCTCTCTGTGTTTGTGAGTGTCTGCGTGTCTCTCTGTGTTTGTGAGTGTCTGCGTGTCTCTCTGTGTTTGTGAGTGTCTGTGTGTGGCTCTCTGTGTTTGTGAGTGTCTGTGTGTTCCTCTCTGTGCTTGTGAGTGTCTGCGTGTGTCTCTGTGTCTGTGTTTGTGAGTGTCTGCGTGTCTCTCTGTGTTTGTGAGTGTCTGCGTGTCTCTCTGTGTTTGTGAGTGTCTGTGTGTTGCTCTCTGTGTTTGTGAGTGTCTGTGTGTGTCTCTCTGTGTTTGTGAGTGTCTGCGTGTGTCTCTCTGTCTGTGTTTGTGAGTGTGGGTGTGTGTCTCTCTCTCTGTGTTTGTGAGTGTCTGCGTGTCTCTCTGTGTTTGTGAGTGTCTGTGTGTTGCTCTCTGTGTTTGTGAGTGTCTGCGTGTGTCTCTGTGTCTGTGTTTGTGAGTGTCTGCGTGTGTCTCTCTGTCTGTGTTTGTGAGTGTCTGCGTGTCTCTCTGTGTTTGTGAGTGTCTGCGTGTCTCTCTGTGTTTGTGAGTGTCTGTGTGTTGCTCTCTGTGTTTGTGAGTGTCTGTGTGTTCCTCTCTGTGCTTGTGAGTGTCTGCGTGTGTCTCTCTGTGTTTGTGAGTGTCTGTGTGTGTCTCTCTGTCTGTGTTTGTGAGTGTGGGCGCGTGTCTCTCTGTCTGTGTTTGTGAGTGTCTGCGTGTCTCTCTGTGTTTGTGAGTGTCTGTGTGTGTCTCTCTGTCTGTGTTTGTGAGTGTGGGTGTGTGTCTCTCTGTCTGTGTTTGTGAGTGTCTGTGTGTGGCTCTCTGTGTTTGTGAGTGTCTGTGTGTTGCTCTCTGTGTTTGTGAGTGTCTGCG